ATCGGATTTAATCGAAATAGGCACCATTCGAATCAGCACACTTTTGCTAATGTGACAGCAGTCAAGAAATCCCATCAAAGTAAAAAACTGGGTGGTCGAAAATTCACGAAATCCACTAAGGCTTTTTTGCCTGGTCCTGATTGATGAAGTATTTTCCAGCAAGGGAGTTCTGAAAATGTTAGAAAAGGTGATAGTCGGTTGGCGAAAGGTCTGAAGAATATGGCGGTTGAGGTAGAACTTCAACCCCCAATTCGTTCAATTTATGGATAGTGATTTGTGAAACGTGTGGGCGGGCGTTGTCATGCAAAGGAATCGGACCCTTTCTTTTGATAAGTGTTGGCTGCATCTGACAAAATTTTCGGTACAATTCGTCGATTTCTTCACAGTAGGGTTCTGCTGTGATGGTTTGGCTTGGTGATAAAAAGTTATAGTGGATCACACAGCCGATGACCACCAAACCGTGACCAGAATCTTTTTTTTGAGGGTTCGGCTTTGAAAATTACCTCGGTGGTTCGTCGAAATCCAACCACTGTCCGGAACGTCTCCTGTTATCATACATGACCCATTTTTCATCACAGGTGACAATTCGGCCCAAAAACAGGTCGTTTCTGCTGCGCAAAAGCAATGCAGAAGGAACCTCGAGACGTGCCGATTCCTGCCGGTCACTCCGATTGTGGGGCACCCAATTGTCGAGTTTTTTCACCTTCCAATGCGTTCCAGACCATCTGCAACAGTGGATTTGCCAAGGCCTAGCTCTTCTGCTATCTCTCGAACTGTTTGGGATGGGTCAGCCTCCAAAATCCCCCTAAAATCCTCGTCAGATATTGCTTTAGGTCGACCGCTATGAGGTTCATCTTCAAAGCAAGGCTGAAATCTCCAGACGAAATTTTGAGCCATTGCGCACAGTGCTTTCTCTAGCACTATTGGGCCTCCACATCTGGTTAATTTGTTGAGCTGTTTCGATTGCGGATTGCCCCAATTTATGGTCGAAGAAAAAAATCGTCCGAAGTGCTCTTTCACATGCTTGAAAAAATCTTGAAAAAGGGGGTTTATCAAGCAATGGTGAAACGGCAATTATACCATCAGATAGCGCAAGAAATTCTCTACAGGATGTGCTACTGAGAAGTCAAGGCAGAATGAGTGGAATCAGCATGAATTACCGAAAAAATAGGTGCACAAAACGCTTGCAGAATTCCGGACAACCTAATATCTGCAGAAGTCCCTCGCTTCACAGAGTAGCGCAGTTCGTAATCGCAAAGCCGTCGTGTTTTCGGAAGTTGGAAGTGCTTGATATAAGCGCCAGGCTTGGAGACTGTAACCTAGCTCAGCTGCACTGAATACACCTTTGAGATTTCGTTTTAGTATCCCTGTATAGCGGTGTGGGCTGGGATCTTTATATATTTTCGATATACCGATGTTTGGCTGGCTTTGTCGTTCTCGCTCCGTTCTCTCTGCATTTGATACTCAGAGCTTGAGGGAGAAAGGATAAAGTCTTCGCTGTCGGTCAATCCCTCTGTGGGGCACGCATTTTACATATGTATAGAATCGGACCCAGCCCAGTATACAAGTCAGTGTTCTTATCTTCCCAGACGAATCTGGTACCACTTTGCTGTCTTCGGGGTGCAGAAGGCTGTGCGTGGCCTGGTGGGGGGTCGAGCAAGGGACTTGGGTGCAGAACCACGCGAGTGGTAAGCGCGCCACTTGTCGCTACCACCCTCCGCCTCACTCCAAGCTTATAGGGTTCTCATTTAGTGCGCTCGGACGTTTGATTTGCTTTTTTACTAGTATCCTTTTTACTACATGATCTCATACTTCTCAACCCTGCGACCCGCGAATGGTTATCTGCAGCGCTTCCTTCAAGCGCTTTAAAAGGCACAGTTCCCGCGTTCGAGTGGTCCGCGAAATGCCTTCGTTAAAAAGGCGATATAAAGAAGCTAAAGACGCGTGATTATTGCAACCATTGCGACCACGATTACTTTCACTCTGCGAGACAACTGTTTACAAGCGGAAGTGCGTGCGTATGTAGCGTTGCCTGGAGCGTCGTAGAGTGATTTCCTGTGCTCTTGCGGGAAATGGGTGTGAACCAGCTGATTGGGGCTGGCCGACGCCGAACAAAACTCATCCAAGGGCCTGACTGCACTGCTTACGGGGGGTCTATGTTCAGAGTGTTCCGAATTTTTTTTTTTTCGCCTTCACTCCTCTGGGGATTTCTGTCTCATGACTGAGCGCCTACTACTCGTACTACTTGATCGCGGGGATGGTCTTGAATTTTGAGTCAGTGGAGTTGGCGGCGGCCCAGTTCGGCTTGGTGAGGGCACCAAAATGCCTATATCGAAACCTGTACAGGCCACCCTGGAAGACCTCGTAAAACCCTGTAATCAAACTTGGATACCTTTGCATATTTCGCGACTTTACCAGAGTTTACGGGTCTCAGCTAAATGAAGCGTGTTAATTACCGTAGCAAATATTCCTTTGGCAGTCGTACTTCTGAATAAACCAGTCGGATCGCCCGGCTGACGCCGAGCTCTCCTCATTCTCTTTAGCTCGCTTTGCCTAGCTGGCCTGGCTCCCAGGCCGCGCTTATGAATTTTGAACGTAACTTTTCCATAGTGGGCGGATCATACGGTGCTGTAGTGATCGAATCGTGCTATATAGAGCAACGCTGCGGAACACGCTTGTATTTGCAGCAGGGGTTGGTCCGCGCCATAACGCCCATGCAATACATAAATCTGTAGGTGTAGACACAATGTGCAATCGGACATTACAGAGCAATCGCAGCCCTCCGTCTAAGTCGACATTCGACATTATATAGTAGGATAGTGGGATTAGTTCACTTTCTAGTGCTATCAGAGAAGTGATTGCTAAAGGAAAAGTTTGCACTCTGGGCCTTCAATAATTGGGCAGCTACATTATAGTGCGTGACAGATGCCAATGAGAATGGCTCCCTTATCCATTTCTTATCAATTAATAAGATTGCCTATCACCCGTCATCAATTTCCTATCACTGATACTGTATAATTTGTTAGTGTAAAGGCTCCAGCACTTTGACTGAACATGTTCCTTATCAGCCTCTATCAGCTGTTACACTTCTGATCGCATGTCTTCCATCTCGCACTCGTAATATGCATTTTCGAAGAGTAGCGTTCTAAGTTGATGCTGTATGCTCACGTTATGAGTATGGTGACTTTTCTATTCTAACACCCCTTATCAAGTCTTATCAGCTGATATCACTCCATGTCATCCACCAATCATGTTCCTGTCCCATACCACCTATATAATACCTTGGAACTAACGTCCTGCTATTGTTGACCCGAACGCCCTATGGATCGGCGACCATCTCCTCTGACGCCTTTTATCGGATCTTATCAGCTGACATCACTTCCTGTCACCTATCGATAATGTTCCTTGTCCCAACCCCTATATCATGTTTTGGAACCAAGTCTCAATGCACTGCGACAAGCGCTCATGAATTTTCCCCGAAACACACAGACACACACAACACACACACTGACAGACATACTTAGCGAATTATATATAGGAGGATAATATCCATTCAGATCCTTCGTGAAGTTGAGGCGATGACGGAGCAAATCAACTCAAAGGAGGGCCAAGAAATCCACATGCAGGTACATGTGAAATGAACTGTCTTCATTGACTCTCAGTTTGTTTTTCTTATGATTTTTTTCAGTCTTCATCTTTCTATTGCCCATTGCTGCCTCCCCCTCCTCTTTCCGAAAAGAAGTCAGATTTTATAAAAAGTCCTTTTTTCTCTGTGCTGACACGCCCACGATCTTTTTGGCGCAGAAACGCCAGAGATGCCACTGTCGGAGCTGGCTCGTAGCAGTAGAAGGGGCACCAAGTCCTTTCCTCCCTAGCGGTTTTGGTATTCATGTGGCTGAATTGCCCTCCGGTACGAATTACTGGCCAAATATAGCACTGAGGAAATCTTCGATCAGAATCTTGTCAGCGCGTGGCGCACCCTCAGCAGGGATCAATGCCATGCTTTATTTCGCCTTTCCCCTTAAATTCAGAAAACAGTAGCACAAGGCACAAGTTTCTTTCCATTTATAGGAAATCTTCGATGTATGCGTCGGATCGGTAATCAACCAGCTTCTGTTTGGATACAGATTCGATGAGGTAAGAGTGATGGAACTCTAAGATGGCGTTCATACTTCGCGACTTGAGCGATTCAGTCGCGCGACTGTGAGTGACCGCTCGCGTTGGAATCGCTGGAATTGTTTTGGAATCGCAGCCGTCGTAGAACAATTCCATGCGCTCGAGTTGTGTTTTCTGTTTATGCGAGATGTGCTTTGGTGCCGCTTACATTTGCCAGCCATGCAATTGAAGTTGTGCGAAAGATCGTTAATGCATTGCTCACCGTAATCCTACTTTTGTACACAGAGTTTTCACAGGAAATTTCCTCTGCAAGCCAGGGATAAGGCGGAGAGGAGGGGAGTTCGAGATAGCCTGTGAGTCAGGGAAAAGTTGTGCAATGAAGCTGTACGACTGTCAAGGTTCTACTAAGAGTCAAATAGCGACTGCAGGTTTGTAGCTGAGCGCCACATCCATAACTGATCGCGGGTTTCACCTTTGAATCGGCACTTGTAGCGATTAAACAGTGGCAGTGAGCTGAAGCTGGTCCAGTCATAGAAATCTTTGGCCTTCGCGCGACTGCCTCGCATCGCGAAGTATGAACCTACTTTAATGTGAGATGCTTAAAAGTAAATACCCTCCCTCCCCCACCTTGATAAAGTTGTGGAATGTACAGTAATTCCAGAGTAATGTTGGAGAATTTCGCAAGCTGAAAGCGATGATGTCTAACCAAATGAAGGAGTATGCACATCCATCGGCTGCTTTCTTGTTCGCGTTCCCGATCTTCAGAAAGTTCCCATATTTCCGTGGACAATGGAAGAAGTCAGGTTTAGTCCAGAACTAAGTTTGTCTTCCTCAAAAACAGACTTCACTCACCTCTGAAGACGAATGTCCGTTCTTAAGGGTTGTGTATGTGAATTAGGTCTGAGCTGCAGTAAGCGAGCCATGTTAATTCGCCAAAAAGGGAAGAAGGATGGGGGGGGGATTCGGCGATAAGCCGGGGTGTCCTTGCGAACTCACGCCACTGCTGCACGGACTGGTCACACTCCTAACAATGACGAACGCCACTACTGCTGTCGTGCGTCCTCTCACTTTTGGTTCTGCTCCACGGTTGACTGCTTGAAGTCGCTGCCGATCTTCGATCGACGTCAAGTGTGCCATTAAGGAGTGCGGGGCGGGCGTATGCCAGAACCGGCGCCCTATTATCACCACCCTTCAACCCGTGTCGTGCACATTTATGCTGAGCAAGTGGCACGCTACGCTCTTGCGGACCACTCACCTTTCCAGATGGTAAGGATGCAAGATCCACCAAGCTGTAGAATTAAAAAAAGCAGGCTCCGAAACATACCAGGGGCTGTAACTCGTACCTTGGGGAGTCCCCGGGAGTTTGGGGGTGGGGGTCGTAGTTTGGTCGTGGAGGTACTGGGGGATTGGTGCGCCTTTGGCGCATCAAAATTGTGGTTACTAAGTTTTTCGTTTGTCTTGTGCCTTACGAGGTTGTTAGGTGCAGCAGTTGTAGTTACTATTCCCGATAGTTAAAAATACGGTTTGTGTAGCAATGAATACTACCATTGCCCCCCCCCCCTCCGACCCCTCTCCCGCTCGATGACAAACCTCTCTGTGAAAGAACAGGAGAATTTTGGAGAAGTGGAAGAAAAAAGAGGAAGTTGGGGAATTTAGGGAGATGGAAGGTGGGCTGTGGAACGGGATCGAACTGGAGGAAGAATTTTTGCGGGACGGGCGTACTTATTTTCCAACAATTCTCCCCAGCGAATGTCCAGAGACTTTTGAGTTTTTGCCCAATAAACATTTCAGATGCCTATTTTGATTTGCAACATTCAGTTCTGATCTCTCCTCATAGAGGGCCTCATCAGCGCCAAATGCATTACCTTGCTGAGAAAAACCTTCGTATTTCAGCATCTTAACATCTCGATAAAAAGAATATTCAACTATCGCTCTTCTTATTCCAGATTATTTGTCTATCGCGATTCGTTCTTCGCGTTTTTCAACCGTCAGATTGATGAACATCGAAAAAGGATCGATTATGATTCTGATGCCACAACTGACTATGTGGCAGCATTCTTGAAAGAACAGAAACGTCGAGAAGCCGAGGGAGATTTCGAGTCTTTCAAGTGAGTTTGGTATAGCCCACTGCTACCAGGACACGGCAACATTTGCAAAACAACGAAGGGGGTTGTAATCTGGCCTCTGGTCAGGGAGTCACAGTTGCCTTGAAGGAAATTTCTTTAATAATTGATTTTTTTCCTCTTGAGGCCCTCATCTATGGCGGAATCCCAACATTCTTTATAGGGGATCGTGTTGTGCCACTGGGGAAGGTGTGGATCACAAAAATGATTCCGCGCTGTAGGGAAAATTTTCCGTTTTTGTGATTTTCACCGTATTGACAAAGCTACCATAGAGTCACTATTTTTCATGGTAAAGCGATAATTGTATGGGGAGCACCCTCTCCCGCTCGCTCTCCTCCCCGACAATGTTTTGGGTAGAACTTTGAAAATTTTTGGAAAATGGGTGGGAAGTTGGGTGACTTCGGTAAGATGTTCGTAGGTTGTGATCGGATATGAAACACCGCCATGACCATCGCTTTCTCGCATACCTCTTTCTCCCAAGCAGATGGTGAAAATCGGAAAGAATACGCTTGTTGTGACGGGCTCCTAAGAATCTTTAAGACATGTTACGGCGCTCCAATTCTTCACAAAAATCTCGTTCCTTTCTGCTCAGAAGCCTTTCAGTAACTAGTCACTCGCGAGTTCCTAGAACCTAGAGAAAAGTGGTAATAAACTAGCATGAGAAATGCTATGAGAAGTAAGTTCGATGAATTTTCGCTAACCATTCGCACACGCAATTCAGGCATCTTCAGCTGCAGAATGTTTGTCTCGACCTGTGGATAGCTGGAATGGAGACAACGTCAAACCCACATTCTCTTTGGGGTGTTAGTCGTATCTCTCAATCATCCGATGTTCAGGTTTAACATTCCTCTTGCAGTACTAATAAATCGCTCCATATGCTTCCCGAATCTTAATTATGAAACTGCCAAAATCTACTAACTTTAGGCAAAAATGCATGGAGGAAGCTGGACGGAGATCGGCTCTCCCCGTGCGATCACCATGGCCGACAAGAATAATCTCATTTTTACACATGTGCCGTTATTAATGTGAGTGTTCTTCAGCAGATCCTTCACCTTGATCTACTTTCTCTGTCTCGGGCTTTATACCGTACTCTACAGTCATTATCTCGCACGGGCAGCTTTTACCACCAGTTGATGCCATCCTGCATTAAGCTCGGAACAGTTAAGCTCCGGCTGCGCTTCAGTTCTGCGTCCCTCACACACCCTCTTTAGTGCAGGGGTGATGACTGTAGCTTTACCGTCCAGAGGCTGATCCTCGTTGGCGCATCAGCAAATTTGTCAGTTCTGTGTGGTCCCACACGTGGGGGGGGGGGGGGGTGGAGGAGGAGGAGCGAAGATGAGGAGGATGGGGGTACACCTCCATCATAGCCCTAACGGTGGAATCTTTTCACCGAACAACTGTTGTCTCCGAGTCCGACTAATGTTTGAAGAGGCCCTGCCGCTTGATACCCTTCCTACCCAACGATTATGAGCATATCAAGCTTTCTGGTAGTACAGTATCTATGATATGTGAAAATAGCGATATCGGTACGACACACACACACACACACACACACACACACACACACACACACACACACACACACACACACACACACACACACACACACACACACACACACACACACACACACACACACACACACACACACACACACACACACACACACACACACACACACACACACACACACACACACACACACACACACACACACACACACACACACACACACACACACACACACACACACACACACGGCATGCTATCTACAGTAGACCTTTTCTCCCATTAATCCCGCCTCTGCCATTTGGCTAGCTTCACCTCGATTTTCTCAGTTTTTCAAAGATTCTCAGTCTGTCTCTGGGAAAGCGCCGTCGACTGAGAGGGCGAAAATGGAAGGGGGAGGTATCCACGAATCAACTACTAAATACAACTATCAGAAATGCTGGACCACTCCTTAATTCGACCATCCTCAAAAGCGTAATCAGTTTTGCTGGTTCTGGCAGTTTTGATTCTTTTTTTTCTTTCCCCGTTGCACCACCTAACAATCCAATTTCGTTTTCATTTGGTAACCAAACTGAAGTGTCCATTGCCTTCAAAAGTTACACTTCTTCTTGCAGGAAATTCAACGGCTTGGAAATATAGTTCCGTTGAATTTACTTCACGAAACGGTTCGCCCAGTGCAGGTCTTGAATTTCGAGCTGCCGGAAAAAACAGGGATAGTTGCACAAATCAGTTCTGTTTTGTACGATGAAGAGGTATGTTGTCCATCTAGTTGAAATCTTGTCCTTGGGTTCTCTGCTGTTACCTACACTTCTTGTGGGAGTGTGGAAAACTTTTGAGGTCGATGGATTCTATTCAAAATGGGGTCCCACCAATCCCACAAATCAGAATTTCAGCGGAACTGTGTTAGCGAATTCTCAAATACAGCGACTTTCTGGGGAGAGGTGGAGGGGAGCCGCTGTACAAGGCAGTGTTTCTATTTTACTAGCTGAATCTGTTACCAACTTACCGGCCTGGGTGTATAAGGCTTGGTCAACCCAGGCCTGAGAGTTTACCTGCTTGCGTGGTAAGCGCACTGGCGCAGTTCGGCGAGGGGGGGGGGTTACAAGAATTTACAGGTGTCACCCACTTGAGGTCTGTTAGTTAACATGAACTAGCTGGAGAAACTCGCAAAAATGCGAGATCCTTCATCCCTCCCCCTCTCGCCCCTCTAATCCAGACAGCGACAGCGCATCCTTTGCCAATACACTACCTCCACTGTCTTACAAAACGCGATGAAGAAAGGTAGTAAATGAATGATACAGTAAAATTCCAAAGACATATGCTGTAGTGGGTATGGGTACCGCCTGGCGTAGTGACAGCACGGTACATATGTAATATACAGTCTCGTTCGCTGCGATGAGGAAGCTTGTCAAGGGTGGATTGGCGCGGCGCCATACCATATCGCCCTTTTCTCGGCAAGCATCGAGACTGTGTCATATCGCGTGTATCAGTAGTTTTCCACCAGCTGTTATCACTTACCCACTTTTCAAGTGGTGGATAACGGGCTGGCGGTGTGCCAGACTCAGTCCCCTTGACATGTCCCACCATCTGCAACGAACAAGACTGAAGGTCGGTTAGCTCCATTTATTCTTCCATCCTTGTCCTCGGAATAGCACTAATTTATTCTGGGTAAACTGAAACAGACACTAGAAAATCGAAGGATCCAGAAAACTTCAATAAAAACTGTACCTAACTTCCGGGGGCCCCGTTCCTTGCCATATGCGAGGTGAATGGTTCTGCAGCTGCAGTAGCGTGCCTCTCTCCCTGGTCAATAGCGTACGAAAACAGGGCTGAATGGTAGTGATACTCGGGTCTGTCTTCATATTCTGCCCGCGCTGCCTCACGGCCATCCACGTAACTAACCGTTGCCAAACGCGCTGCTTGTCTGCGGCCTATTACATTTCATTGTTCTCTATCGCTGAACGCGTCTTCGCTGTGGGTTTTCAGTATAGACGTAACTGCGGCACCTCGAGGTT